GTTCTTGTTGTTGGAGGGTCGGTGTCTCAGACGGAGCCTTGCCCAACGCCACTCGCTTGTTACGTCCTTTTTACCTTTTCACTCGCTTGCTTTTGCCGCTTTTTACTCTTTCTCTCGCTGCTGCTGCTCCCGCTGCTGCTGCTTCTGCTGCTGCTGCCTCTCCGCGTGTACGAGAGGAGGCTCGAGTGCCGCGCTCTCTGCTTGTGCTGCCGCGAGTGTGGCGAAAAATAACAATAGACGCGGCGTCACTAGTCTCGCTTAATTGCATTTTCTCCGGCTCACTCTCCTAACCATTGTTTGATCTCTCGCGAAATTTAATATTCTCGCCTCGTCTCGTCTAATCTTGCCTTGCCTTGCTCTTACCACCTCGTCCCCTCCATCTTCTCTGCCCCTTTTTCCTAACCCTTCCGTTTTGCCACCAATGTGCATCTACAGCAATATGTTATATATCCTGCACCAACAGTTGTTTTATTCAAATTAACGAGACGTTAATTTAATAGTTTGACTGTACTCCGTGTACAAGAACAGAATGTCTCGTCTGACTAAATGCATGTCTATACTACTGAATCATAGATTGTTTGAAAGTAGAATGGTATCATACATATTTCTAGAGCTGATAGATTATATAGGATACCACAGCAATCCAATCTTTATTAATAAGAGATTCTGGCTTTATTTTCATCTACGGTTAATATTCAATTATTGAACTTTCTTATCGAGGTTACTTCTAAACTTTTTAATTATAACCGTCTTATTGAACATTCATACTTTTGAAAGCTCTGTCGCAAACCTTGAGTCTCGAACGTAAAACACTTACAGCCTTATGAATTATGAAGCACGACACGAAGCTTTTATCGTCTACTGTTTTTCATACATACGATTCAGCAGTTTCTATTCAGTTTTTAATAGAACAGAAAAATTCAATAAACCGCAATTCTTTCATGCAAGTGCGCAGTTGGAAAAATAAAATAAAAGGACGATCCGTGCGTATTCAACTTTTATCAGTCGAAACTGCAGTTTTCAAATCAATTTTCATTAATAAAACTTTACACTTCGTCAGAATAGATATTCATAGTACATACGTTGTATGCAAGTCTTCTAGGGAAACTTTTTCTGAAAACATGTCTAGTTTGTAGTCACGAAGTTGGTATAGGAAACTATATTTATAATGTAAACTTTTTTAATATTATTTGCTACTTGTATATTATGCGGTTAGTTTTGTGTAAAATTGGGAAAAGTTAAATCAGCACATTGAATTGTTGATTGCGTAACAGTATTCAAAATTTTTACAATTTTAAACATTATTTTCTAAGTTTCGAATCATTGTACAGCAGAAATTATTTAAATGTTTCTATGTTATGAAGTATTATCATACAAAATGAATATTAACGAGGATTCACCATTGTAGCAAGTTTGTTTTTTTTTGTGCAAATTCAAATGGCTATCAAACAGATGAGAACTGAAAAATTTTTCCGTTAAGTGAAGGCAAATATTATCAAAACAAAACAATTGTTTAAGAGTTTTTAAATTTGTCTACATTTTTTAAAATTCATAAGATAACAACATTTTTCAAATATTTATTTTTACGAAGATTTTTAGTAAGGGAAAAAATAAATATTTAAATATTTTTTGAGTAACATTTGAAGTTAAAACATTATTTATAAAATATATTTTTGATTGGCTTATCAGAATATTATAGATATTCCTGATGAAGTTATATTTTGAATGGTTCAATTAAATAATCATATCCCTTTTATGATATAAAAGATACTGTTACTTTATAGGTGTTTTTTTACTTTAAATGAAAAATGCTATAGAGTGTAGAGACTAGAATAAAGTTTCAATTTGACAAATATCTGAAAAAAGTTCATTATTCGATGCCATTTTTGTTCAAACATTCAAACTGCTAGCACATTCTTAATTTTAGGGTCATTTTGATATTGATAAAAACGAAAACCTGATTTTTTATAGTTTTATATTTTATAGTTTTTTTAGAATTTGAAAAAGACAAAATACATAACATTTATCTAATTATTATTATTAATTAAAATACAATGGAAATCATATGTTATTTTTTACTCGAAATGTCGACTCTTATAGCGATTTGAATTCACACAATCTTGATCAAATGTATCAGTTGTGCAATTTTATGAGTTTTGACCAGTCGAATTCGTATTAATCAGTAAAAATCAGATTGACTTTATTGTTCTTCGTTTTCTTTATAAATTCCAAAAAAATCCTCAAACATTTTTAAACTTCTAAGGATCAACAAAGGATGTCATAAGGATACTCGATTAGTATACACTCTCGATGGTATTAGAAACACAAAATGAAGCAAAGTTCAACTAAGGGAAAATGAAATAAAAAATTTTCAAATGGAGTACACAATTTAAAAATTTTAAAACTAAAAAAAAATTATATACACACAATTGGAAATTTTGATGAAACATGGCACATCAATACATATTTTATGGGATTCATTGTATATATTGTAACCTGCTGACATAAATAGAGTTTTTATTTAGTCGATCACTTCTAATGATTTTTTTTCCTATAATCGCGATAATTAGTAGAAAATTGTGAAAGACTTAACGTGTGTGTGCGCATCTGCATACGCGTGTATTGTCATTAGAAATTTAGATTCTAGTACTAGGAGTTAAAATGCCTAGATGTCCTACGTTAAATTATTAGATTTGAAACATTTTTTCGATAGTCTTGATTTCGTGGTACCATTTAATTATATAAAATGTGTATATAGTAAAACTAAATGGAAAAATTATCAATTTAATTTGCTATAAAATGTACCAGAATTCAGTCCATTAAATAGGCTTGTGCCTCAAAAGTAAAATAAATTATATCTCTTTTTCTCCCCTAATTGTATTACCTTTGATTAGTTTATGTCGTTATAATTAATAACATTATGGATGTCTTTTCATTTGCAAAATATATTAAAACCTCATGTAATAATTTAATTACATGACTTGTTCATGATTTAATAATGGATAAGTACTGCGCCCTGTTTGATCAATATCTCATGAATTCAGCGTAAAGGATGAAAAGGCACAATTTAAATTGTTCATCCATAAAATTGAATGTTATAATATTTCACGATGAACGAACATTGATGGCTTACAGTTCTCGCAAGCTTTTACTGCACCTGTAGAGAGTTTTAATGTTAATGTAAATTATTTGATGACAATCGCATGGCAACGTGAAAATTCTTCGACCTAAGATAGGCGGAAGTGAATAACACTCTTATCAACTGCTTTGAAAAGCAAGCGAGAATAGTTGTTGTAGAGAGGAACGATGAGTCGCGGAGTGGAGGCAGATGTGCTGGGATAGCTTAATTCGACGGCTTGACGTGCACGAGTGCACAGACGAACTCCAAGCTACGGTTATTCTTATTCGGCTTGTTATCCTTTGTTCGAACACTGGCTACTTGAGTTTACATTGAAAAATAAAAAGAAATCCTCGAGTTAAGCTGAGCAGAAAGGAAAATTACGAGAGAGAGAGAGAGAGAGAAAGCGGACCGCAGATTGATCGTCGTCTCGCGGAGCTACGATCGGCGTTGCTCTTTGCAGAGTACTCCAGTCCACTGGAAGTTTGCTCTCATTGGCTCGATCCAAGCTCCATCGAAATCAATCACGTCAATGATGATTACCAAGGTCTCAGTTTAGCTCGAGGGATAAAAGACAGATAGCTGTGTACTTACCTGCGCTAATTGGAAGATCGGTTGGGATTGGACGTGTCCCCCGATGGTTTGGGTCCGTGGTCCAAGGTCCAAAAATCCAAGAACACGTGCGGCGCGACAGGGCGCGATCAAAGGAGCGGGCAGGCGGCGGATCGGAGCGGTTCGACTGTCGGGAAGACCTCGTGGATGGCGCCCGGCTCGGATCGGCGTGGCGGTGGCGCAAGCTCGTATAGCCACCACCGGACAAGCAAACATCGAAGCCGAAACTGCTCGAGGCGGCGAGTCGCGAGCAGCAGGCTGCGGATCCCTCCTGCGGAGCGGCTCGGAGAGAAGGCAGGGTAGGGGGAGGCAGAGAGCCAAAGAGACTTTAGCGGCTGAGCATGCGTGGCGCTCCGAGACGCGCAACCGCGCCGCCCACCCGACACCGAACTACTATTTTTCGCTGCTGACGCGCTGCAGCACATCTCTCTCTCTCTCTCTCTCTCTCGCTCTCTCTGTCTCGTTCTCTTTCGCCATCCCTCTCTTTCGCTCTGTGTCTCCGCCGGGCCTGGGAGATGACGATTCCCGAGCAGAGATCGGGTCGCGGGCTGCTGCCGCCGCCGCCGCCGCTGCCACGGCTGCAGGTGTCAGGGTGCCGACGCAGAGACAGAGCGAGAGGGAGCGAGACGGAGCGAGAGGTAGCCGGATGAAGGGGACGCATGCGCCGGCGACGTCCCTTAAGTTTCGAGAAGAGCGCCGGGAGGGGAGGGCAGCGCGCGGGAGAAAGAGAGAGCGAGTCAGTCAGGCCGTAGCGCGCGCTTCGTCGGCCACGCCGCCACCGGCACACCTGGGCTGCTCGGGCTCTCGAGCTATGGGACGCTCGTGCAACCACAGGAAGAAAGCAACGATGGTTTAGCCCGCACCGACACCTCGACGCCACGAGCTCTGTACATATAGCACTCGCCGTGCCGTGACGCCGCGATTTCTTTTCTACCTGCACCGCACTGCCTCTGTGAAGTGCGCGCTTCGAGGTCGTCGCCTCGCCGTCGTCGTCGCCGCCGCCGTAGCCGCCGGGTTGTGCGCGACAAGCGAAACGCTCGCGAAATCCGAACCGGCGCCCGTCCTGCTTCGAGAGTGCCCTGCCAGACTCCCGCTGAACCATCCGCCCGCCCGCCGCATCCTCTCTCGCTGCCCCCCACCCCCCCCCCCCCCCTCAGCAACCCTGTTGTCGTAACCCGACGGTTTCCGGCTCATTGCCAGGCCGATATGCACAATGCGCCAATGACGAGGCCACTACTGACAGAAGTGAATTTTATTTGTGTTTGCATAGGTCACCGTTCAAAGTGCCTCCAAGTGCTCCCCCGGGACTTTGCCGGATTTCATTGCGGCTGAATGGCAATGACGGACAATATGACTCCTATTTTCCTTGTTCTCTTGCTGGCAATCGAGCCTCTCGTAGCCCAGGATACTGGTGAGTAAAATAATCAACGACCACTATCAATTCGTCCGCCACAAGACTTTTGCAACTATGTCAACGACGAGAAAAAGAAACAAGAGGACAATCTTCCTACGGCTTACTCGCCTTTTCCGTTTTATTTTTTATTTTTTTTCTCCTTGGCCTCACCCAGCAATCACGAGATGATGAAAAAAACATCAAGTCCAGCGTGCAGTAATACGCGGAAGTAATATCCGATGCCGTACATTGATAAACGCACCATTTCGACCACGTGAAATCAAGTTATCGATCGTTAAATAATAAGCTAGTGAGCGAATTCGATGGGCATCTTGGAATGTCTTCGCTCTCTCTCTCTCTATCTCTCTCTCTATCGCTCTCCGCAAAGCTCCGCTGGAATCGATCGACTCTCGTCTGCGCGTTAAATTATAATGAGACGTACTCAGAATTTAAAGAATTCATATTAAGCACAAACCACTCGACTGAAATCTCGGTAATCGCGTTTTATATGTAATCTGCTTGGCCGAGCTCGAGTTGTTATTTTGACGAAAGAAAAATAACAGGCGACAAAGAGAGCTTGAACGAGAATGATAGCTTATATAGCACGACTACTCATAAAATTCTAGCAAAGCCGATTACTCCGATGAAACGTCGGAGCTTCTATTTTAGCATTATGTCGCGTTGGTATTTTCGACTCGATCCGATGAAATAATTAAGCGTACAACGCTCGCTCTCGAAAATATTTAAACTATTGAAATAAGTGCACAAAACGAGTAAATAAAGCATTTCGCGATAGCAGTTTGGTGACGCGAAACAGAGCGAAGCGGCAATAAACTTTGCAATGCCGAGTTTGATCGGCTGTATAAATATCGAGGCGAAAGTTTGCGTTCGTGTCGAATTCGTGAATAATTAAAATAAAAATAATGTCGAGTAATGGAGAATGACTTCGTCGGCATATAGGATTTTAAGAAGCTGCTAAAGAAGTCGACGAGTCCGAGGAACTGGTTCGCTTGCTTTTTCAAATATCGATTTTCTTCAGCGGGACCAATGAATCTTTGATAGGCCTGAATCGAGTTTGCAGCTCGAGCTATAAACCAGTTAAAAAACTGATAAAAAAAATATAGGCAGGCTGGTACAAGGGCGAAAGGAAAGAAGGGAGTACGAGAGAGGGAGAGAGAGTTGGAAATTAAAGCTGCCTTCGGTTGAGTTGGGAGCCTATTCACATTGGTTGTGAAGAAGAAAGGGAGTAGAAAAAACTAGCGGTACACTCGGCGAAATGGCGGAAACGAGAGCGGTGTTTTGTAAACGAGTTTTTAAAAGGAAGCGAGCAGAGTCGAGCTGAAATGAGAGTAGAATATGGGCGATGGGGGAAATGGGACGCGCATAGCGTGGCTGAGTAGAGAAGCCGATACGGGAGTAGTTTTTCGAGTTGGAGTATAGAGAATAAAAAAAAAAAAAAATAGAAAAAAAAAAACGAGAATCGATTGCCACTCGTGGTGCGCGTACTCAGTGCTATGAAAACATTTGCGCGCAGATAAAAGGGCGCGGGCGAGCGGCCGGCCGACGTAGGCGGTTCTCGTCAAACAAGCAGTCGACAAGCGAGCGAAAAAGAGGAGAGAACGAGGGAGATGGAGGAAAAAAGCCGACAAGCTTCGATTAGCGGACGGTTAGGTTGGACTTGAGCTTTCATCATCCGGTGATTGAGGGAAAGGGCCAAGGCAAACGCGAGGCGCGAGTGAACATTGAGTGCGCCGGGGAGAGACAAGTGAGCATTGAGCTCCAAGACAAGTGGACGAAGAAAGAGCTTGCCGAAGTCCCAGGACGGCGGACGTGCTCGCGGCGAGATTCCGGACGCTCGCAGGAGAGAGAACGAGTCTGCACGGGCGCGCTCTGCTCGGGCAATAAAAGCCCGTGCATCTGGCGCGATTATCCAAGCGCCCATCAATTTCACAGGCCTCCGCTTATTTTATAAGCATGGATTACGAGACCTGCCTGCCTGCTATTTATACGCCGAAACCATTTGCAAACTATATCCCTCGGCCAGTATTTCAGCCCAGTCAAAGCCCCCACAGGCCACCGCTAATTTGCCTTCGCGCGGCTTCCGCGAGCGATAATTTTTTCCCGTCGTCGTCGTCGTTGTTTTATCGCTGCCAGCAGCGCAGCGCTGCGCAAGGACAAGGTAGGTAGCTGCATGGAATCGTCAGCAAACGACTGTATATTTTCAATCGAGTGCGTTATCGAGTATACAAATATTGACGGGCTCATTTGATTAATTGAGTAGTAGGGGCCAGGTAAATATGCACTCCCAGCGATTGCGATGCAATGAGCTGCAAACAGCAGCGGCGGCGGCGGCGGCGGCGGCAGCGCCAGTAGCAGCAACAGCAGCAGCAGCAGCAGCAGCAGCAGCAAAAATTGCAGTTGTTCCATTTCGTAGGAAGCCCGCTCGCTCGCAGCGGCGCCAACATTGTTCAATAATTTGAGCAAGCCAGCTGCGAAATCCGTCGGGGGGATTTGCGCTACTGGCATCGCCGCGCTCCCTTTGCTGACTCCATTATGAAAATGATGCATGCCGGAAATGTCAGTCGATTAATTATGCCTCGGCCTGCGTAATTCTGATGAGTAACAGCTCCCGCGCTCCAGTATTAGCGCAATAACTGTTTCACTTTTCTGCACTCGCCAGCTCAGCCGGGGCAGTCGGCAGCGCCCGCTGCCTGCGCCCCGCTAGCGAGCTTCTCCCGGCTTTATATCGCCAGATCTACCGCCCACGCGCGCGCGCGCGCTCTTTAAAAGCATTGCGCGTCCATCAAGTCCGCCCCGCACATTTGGCATTAAACACAAAACATATTTTGAACGAGCGACCTGAGAGCGCGCGCGCGAGCGCGCACACACGGCGAGAGCGAACGAGGAGGCACAGCAGATAGAAGCTACGGGCAGATTCCGCGTCTGGGCAACAAGAGCAGATAAAATTTAACCAGGGATATTTTTTACAGGCAAGCTAATCCCTTTTATTTTTATAATGCGCAGCGCGCGACACACCAGCGTGCACGCGAAAACGTTAATAGTGGCCAATGTCAGTTTATCCTCTATGAAAGAAGCTTGGAATCGGAGATGGATGGTGATGTCGCGGTTGTGCATGCGTCCCCCGAGTGTCTGTTTTAATTTCCGCGAAGCCGCATTTGGGCTTAGAGCTGCATTGATGGTTATTTATTGTTCTGCCTCAACTCGGCTCGAGAGAGCAATAATTTACGAATCGAAATCGACTCTTTCTCTGTCGCGAAACGCGCCCCGTTCTCGCTCTCTCACTCTCGCGTTGACGTTTCCAGTGTGAGCGAGCGATTCAGCGACGTGCAGCCTGCCACACTCTTTTATCAATAATTGACAGAACTAGCGCGCGACGCGTCGGACCGAGTGTTGCACAAAAAACTCTGCTAAAAATACGAGAGAGAGAGAGAGAGAGTGAGAGAGAGGGGGGCAAGCCAGCTAGAGAGTACGTGCCCTCGGGTTTGAGCCAGCAACCAATTAGATTAGCCGCGAGAAGAGCATCGCAATGGCCTTTAATGATCCCCTCCCTGCCAGCCTCCCCCATCCTCTTACTCAAACCTTTTTCGTTCCTGCTTCCCCTAGTTCGCGCTGTCTCTATTCCGCTCGAGATTCTCCATTGTTGAACGCAATAGGAATGATGTGCGGCGATACGCGTGTATATTCCAGAAGCGACGCCGGGACCGGAGCTACTTTGGATTGAAAATAAAAAAAGGGTGGCGGTAGGGCGGTGGGCGGTGGAGGCTTGCGTGCACGCTACGTCCTAACGTCAGGTTGCTAGTACCAGCGGGAACGGACGGATGGATTCTGCTGGCTGCGGGCGCCTAATGAAAGAGCGAACTAGGGGATCCGTTAGTGTCGGAAGATGCTCGTGAGCGATGGCCGCTCAAAGTGCACTTCGCTGTTCCGAGTCAAAGCTTCTCCCCCCCCCCCCCTCCCGCCCCCCCGCTCGCTTGCTCGTTCTCTCATCAGACATTCAATTCAGCCCCGCAGTAATTGACGTATAGCAGAAGCTAACAAAAAGTCGACGAACGAAGTCGCGCACACGCTTGTAACTCGCATTGGCCATTCCAAACTCGTGCTAATAGAATGAGTAGCGCTACCGGCTGTTCAAAGTGATCGCTGTCGCTCGGCCGACCGCCACTAATGATGGATAGTCGTGCAGAGTCCTCTTGGGGAAAAGCCTGAGGGGAGGCCGCAAGCTAATAATGCATCCTCTAGCCACCGTTCGCGCTCGACTCTCGTTGATTTTGATTTATGAAAAAGTTCGAATCTCTAATGCGAGAATAAAGAACAAATTCTCTCGTTAATATACGCTAGTGACCATTAAACACACCACAGCATCGGCTATTGATCGTGCTATATTCGACTGCGCAAAAAAAGAAAAAAAAACGAGTGGGGGGAGGGAGGAAAATCAACACCTTTACGCGTACTCCCTGTCCTTGCCTTCGCATTCCCGCGAGGCCGCCAGCAGCGCCCCTGCGTTTTCAATTTCGCCTTCGCTACCTTTTCCCGCTGCCCTTTTTTTGGCCCACTGATCCATTGTATTCCCACGTCGCTATTTTCCTTTGGCCCGAAATATGTGCCCTCCTCTCTCTCTCTCTCTCTCTCTCTCTCTCTCTCTCTCTAGTTACCCACAGTTAGACTCCTCCTTGAGACAACTTATCGTAAATCATTGCTTCGCTAATCTCATTAAAAGATCAACGGACTATACACGAGCAAAAGTGGTGGCAAGCTTGAGCTTTCGAGAATCTCCGTACTCGCCCATACACGAGGTGCTCTCGCGACTATATCTTGGCAGCTCATCTACATTGTCTCGCTTCTTGGTGGAAGGAGCACACCCCACGACGCGTCGTCGCTTCACACCCTTCGCGCTCGCTTGCACCTTCTTCTTTTCATGCGGCCTGTCCGCTAGTTTCAATGCTATCTACAGTGGATCGTCGCCAGAACACAGATTGCGAGTCTTCTCGACTTCATACTTACACGAGTGT